AGCAACAACATGGTGGAGTTTGAACAAAATGCTGACATAAAATTTTTTCCCCCTACACTTGGCGAATTTTGTCCCATATACAAAATACATGAATTTTAGCGTGATTTTTATGTTTCTCTGCTCTTCAAATCCCCATAAAAAATCCTCACAATTATTGCCATACGCACAAAGGAACAAATTTGGCATTGCATCCGAAACCTGTGAACATATTGCTTTTGCCTTAAGTTAAGTTAGTTCTTTTGTCTAAAAGGACTTGTAGTGGTGGAGTTTAAACAACATGCTGACATAAAATTTTTTCCTCGTACACTTGGCGAACTTTGCCCCATAAACAAAATTCATGAATTTTAGCATGATTTTTATGTTTCTCTCCTCTTCAAATCCCCATAAAAATTCCTGACAATCATTGCCATTTACAAAAAGGAACAAATTTGGCATTGCATCCGCAACCTCTGAACATATTGCTCTGCCGAAATTTAAGTTAGTTCTTTGGTTTCGGTGTATGTGCAAATTTTGTATACTTTGTCATCAAAACTTATGTTCCGACCAAAGAATATGCACAATTTCGTCGCATCAGAAATACCAATGAATTACCTTCTTTCTTTTTTAGTTTTGTCTTTACAGGAGCTATGTTGCCGAACAGTTGTTAGATGCACGAGTGTATATGCGATTGATTCTTTAACTTTGCCAGCATCAGTGAAATCTACTCTAAAGTCCTACGCACTTACGACGTCCCAGAGCATTCAAAATATAAATTATGGTTCCAGATTAAAATATCAGTGTAAATACTCATTGACTAATAATCGAAACAGTTGTACTATTTCATGATTAAATACGTCGTTACATATAAGTGATTAAAGTTGTTATTTGCCGTAGAAATGTATGTATTATGTATTTTTGAAGAGCATTAAGTTTTGTTAATGTACCAATTATTTGAATAATGCGTTTGTCTTCTTAATAAATTGATCTTACTATATATACGATTATAAATTTATTGGTATTCATAAATTGGGCGAATTATGCATATACATATTTATGTGTGTAGTATTATATCAGTAGAGCTCGGATTTTTATGCTAAAAATAAGCCGAAAACTGTGTACCATCATAAGTGTATGGAAATTGGTATACACTTGCCTATAATTTTGATTTTATATGTTTTTAGGCTTATTTTTAAACTCCGAGCTCTACATATCACAGTATCCGAAATTTTCTTCCTCTTATTTGGCAGATATGAGCCGAGACTTGCCTCTCTCCTTTGCAAATGTGCGGCAGTTGTTCATTCCGAGTGCAGACAGCTCCTTCTGCACTTGCGCCTTCATGGGCGCCCTTGCTTTCGGTGTACATCCATGGGAGCGGAAAAAGTAGGCGCGAATTCGCCAGGATTATTCGTTTATGGTAGGAGCGAATACAAGCGTTCAGTTCTGTGCATAATTTCCAATTTTTTTTGAAAATATGGCGTTGTTCTTATTGCATTAAAGCACAATAATACTCATACTCATTTTAATATTCATAATCATAATGAAACTCATAACATAGTCATAATCATAATCTTAATCTTAGTCGTAATCTTTATCTTCAGCTCTATTTTCATCTTAATCTCAATCTTATTATTCTTAATCTTAATCTCAATATCAATGTTAATCTTAGTCTTAATCCTTATCTTTATCTTAATCTTACTCTTAATTTAAACTTAATCTCTATCTATATCCTTATATTTATCTTGTCCATTCTTTCGAATACAATATCACTACTGACAAAAATTCGCTTTCAAACGCTTATACAGCCAAATTCAAATCCCTGCATTTTTATATCCGAGCACTCTTGTGAACAAGGGTATAATAACTTTGTTCACATAATCAACGAATTTCGGTATGTAGGTTTCCTTTTATCCAAGGTATCATGGTATTGAAAATGGGCGAAAGCGGACTGCAACCATGCCATATAACGGTATTTTCGAAAACTGCGAAAAACTACGATATTTCAATAAATATTGCAACTTTCTCTTTATTTAGAAAATTTTGTCTCTTTTTACTTTTTAAAATACATATTTCTTTGCTGAACATTCTTTTCCGTTGTGTTGTTTTTTTATTTTATTCTTTGTATATACACATACCCAAATTGAGATCGGAATATTATCCTCAATCGGAGAATGAAAATTGTCTTTCTGACTTAATGTTCTTTACCGATATGATGGAACATTTGCAAGACTTGAATTTGTCTCTACATGGAGAGAATCAAATTTTTTTGATTTGTCGCAAATTATTTAAAATTTTGAAGCTAAACTACGATCTCAAAACAAGAATATTCCATAATTTTCAATGGCTAGAAAAAATATTGCACATGATTTAAAAGCACATTGTGAAGCTAAACTACGATCTCAAAACAAGAATATTCCATAATTTTCCATGGCCTAGAAAAAATATTGCACATGATTTAAAAGCACATTTTGAAAAAAGATTTACCGATTTGAAATTATTTAAGTGTACGTTTGCATACTTCATAAACCCTTTTTTATGTAACATAATTGAGGATGAATTTGCAATACAAGGAGCAAAAACTAAAACTCTTCTTCGCTTTCCTATGGCTTGAATTCCGGTAACAAGTACCAGATTTAAAATATCCGCTGCTGAAAACAGTTGCGTCCCGTATATTTTCAATTTTCTACAATGCAATTCGTAAAGTCAAAATACCGTTCACAATTAGTTGCATTCGCGTACCTGATAATTATAATTATTCAATAATTATTGAAAGTTATAAAAACTATCAGCTTTTTGTGTTCGCGTACACAAAAAACTTGCAAAGTAGGGGAAATTGAGAAAACAAAATGACATTTAATTTTGAGGGAGACCTGCTAGTTTCTGCTGGAAAAATTTTTGAAAACAAGAAAACAGCTGGTAGGAATTTACGCAAATCTCTAAATTGAATTTGATGGTTTGGAAGATAAAATAGTAAAATGAGACTAATTAAACTTATAAGAAGTAAGTAATTATTCGTTTAGTCAGTGAACTGTGTCAGGTTAATACTTCGGGATTTGTTTTCTTATGTTTTCAATTTTATACTTTCGAATGTAAACAAAATTTCTATGAGCTGTTCGTCTAACTTGCAAGTTTCTGCAAATTTTCTGTTCGCGTAGATACTATTTTAGATATTTCTCTCTTTGAGAGAACAGATGACATTTCGCCGGAATTTTGCTGTTGGACATTTTTTACGGGAGATTTTAAACGCAAGTACGACTATATTGACTAACCAACATTTAACATAACTGTAACGAACCGCTTTAACTGACGTAAAACCAGATTTTGAAAATTTGGCCAAAGGGATCTTTTGAATTTTCTTTAATATCTATAAATAATATTTGAAAAACCCTGGCGACTTAATGGGTATAGACCCGATAAGTGCACCAGTGTTTTTTATTGAAAAAATAAGAAAACAAAAGCACCAGGTTTTAGTTTGAAATATAATTACGTTTGGCGGTTTATTTAATAGGCATATTAAAATTCAAGGGGGCTTACAATGTTACCTTGATTATGAAGTGGTGTGGTGGCGGAACGTCCGTAATCGCTGGTGATTGAAATTCAATAGAATGTTTAAAAAGTTAGAAACTGAAGTCGAACCCTCTAAACGGTTTGAAGAGTTCCGTTTTCAGGGGAAATTTAACGAAAGTGCACTGACAGGAAAAGTGCAGTTTTTCTTTTTGTCTTGTTTCACATACGAATGTGTATGTGTGTGCATCTGTTAAATTAACATTACGGTGGTACACCCGATAATTTAATTTAAGTATTTGATTTAGCGTGGAGGCCTAAACATACCGGCCCCCCTTGCTATAAGCAACGTCTCAAAGATGGTTCAGCCACCACACCTTACATTTAAATTTATTTACATTGTAAATTATGTTCTTTAACTTTGTGAATTCTGCCGCAGATTGGTCCTTGCCCGGGGATCTAGTCCGCACGTTCTCCGGTCCTCCTTGCAGTCTCTAGCTACGGGGAAAAAATGGAAGAAAAAGCTAATAAGGAAAAAAGGTGTGGTTGATCATTTCATTGCACTTTTATTTAAATTCGGTATGTATTCATGAATATTAAATATAAAATTTTAACTGTTTTGTCACATTTGGTGAGCTCCTGATATAATCAGCCCGAACATGGAAGCTTGCGCCAGTAAACCGCCGATCGTTGTTGGCGGAGTGCCACATACCATGACCTGGGCGTACACATCAACGCCAAGTGTTAGTCGAGTGGGGGTGGCCCGATAGAACTGTGGATCCGCCAGACGCATAAATTGAAACGGCGTCGCTATCGTTGGGTCGATGTTAGCCGCGGGGCTGAGTCGGTTGTATCGCGTAACTAGCCTGGCCTGAGTATTTACCCGTTCCGCGACCCCGTACTTTCCTCGCAGCACGGGGGAACATGTTTTCGCGCGGGCGTTGCTGGCTTCGAGCTGAAGCTCCCGTGCTAGGTCCCTGTCGATGGTACTGCTGGGGGCGCAAGAGTCAATCAACGCCCGCACCAGATGAAGTCGGCCGCCTGACTCGATCCGTACAATTGCGGTTGGGGCGATGGCTACGAATGAACGCATTATTGGTGCTGGAACCGCGATTGTTTTTAACTTGCCTGTCCGGAATCCACCCGATGGAATGCGTTGGATGGTGAGGGAGGAACGGTCGCCACGTCGGTGTCGTGCGGCCCTTATTGCTTGCCAGCGCGACGAGCGAAAAGGGCGAGTTTCCGCGCCATCACGCTGGCTGCAATTACGCGTGCGCCAAAATGAGCGAAAAGGAAGAGTTTCCGCGTCATCTCGGTGGCCAGAATTGGTTCCGCGCCGATATGAGCGAAAAGGACTAGTTTCCGCGTCATCTCGTTGACCGCCCGTTGGCTGTGTGTGTGACAGCACTGCTGGCATGGGACTGTCTGCTTCAAGTTCGTGCTGTAGCGGCGGTCGAAAATTGCGGGTTTTCAAGCCGCCGTCTGGTGGTGGAGGGATTATCTCTTCCCGTCTTTCCACCTCTTCTTCCTCTACCTGCTTCGCCCATGACGTCGTTTGGTCGGACACGTGGAGCGAAATCGCTCCGTCAGAGCCGTCGTTTCCCTTGGATCGCCCTAGTCTTCAATATGCAGGGGGGTATGGTGCTTTTCGTCGCAGCGGTGGCATCGGTCATTGCTTCCACATATTTCTATCCGATGGAATGGCGACAAACAGTTGGGACAGTACCGATGTATCAAAATCGCCCGCAACCTTTCCTCGGCGGATTTCCCTCGGTATATGGGGCAGAGTCGTACTCCGTGGTTGTTACCGCACAACCGACAGGGAATCTTAAAATGATCGACCCGTTTCTCGGTCTTAGTGCGGGTGGCCGTGAAGCGAGGCATTCTGTAAAGTTAAACCCCCTTTTTATGGCCGTATGCACAATTATGGTTCATTGTGTATTTTAAACTTAGCTGGGCCTATACTATACCCATTAAGTCGCCTTCTCTGTAGTGATGAAAATCATGTAGCAAACGAAAAGAAAAAATGTTCAAAGTGGGAAAAGGAAGAGGAGATTAGTAAAATAATGACAATTAAAAAACTAACTAGGAGGGAAGTAATAAAGACTTACACGCCCTTTGCGTCAAATCGTTTTAGCTTGTTAGATGAGGATGAGTTTCCTGGCTTAGGTCAACGTCGAGAAACCATAAGAGACAGGGATGCGGAAGTAAACGAAATTCTAACACCTAAAAGCTACGCAGCAATGGCAAAACACAGACAAAACAAAACCAGTCAATTAAAAAAAAATAAATATATTGAAGTCAGTGAGGACATGAGTGACAAAACAAAAAAGAGGGTAGCCTCAATGGAAGCCTATGGTGTGGCTTTGAAAAAACAATGTACACATTGTGTCCGAAATGGAGAAACTGGTTTCGGAAATGATTAAATTTGCAAGTGATGCTTTTAGAAGAATAGATTTTCCAGCAGGGGTAACCGCCTTTGCTCACTTTGATGATAGACTCAAGAAATTCTGCTTAGATTTAGACCACAAGTTCATTACTATTAATCCGCTTTCAAGTACAGAAGTACATGAAGATTCTGCAACATAACTGTCAGTCTTTAAATAAAAATATTAATCATGTTGAATTCTATGTAAACAAGTACAACATAGATATTTTTTGCCTGATCGAAACTTTCTCTCAGGAGTCGTATGTAGTGAAGAAAAACATTCTAAATTTCAACATTATAAAAAAGAATAGAAATGATGGATATGGGGGGGTGGCCATTGGCCTTAGAAAGTCCATTAAATTCCGTAAGATAAATTTTGATACTAATCATGACATATGTATTGTTCAAACTTGTAACCTTGCTCGAAACTTGGTAATATGTGCTGTGTACTTTGAGCCTTCCTTAAGCGTTGGGGTTTTTAAGGAAGCAATATTGAAACTTTTTACAGCATTGGAAGTATATCAGAACGTTCTGATATGTGGGGACTTTAACGCTAGGACACCTGAGTGGGGAGATGTTATTGAATCTAGTAGAGGCTACTTTTTTAGAAACTTTGTAAATAACTCAAGCTTTACCTGTTTAAACAACGGGTCAATAACCTTCAAAGCGAACTTAGGAGCTGCTAGGGGCTCTGTATTGGACCTAACTCTCACTAACATTGCAACAAAGACAACGTGGGAAGTGGTCCCCTGTCAATTAGGTGGCAGCCACCACTACCCCATTGTGATACACTTAGATAAGATCGAAAAAAGAAATCCTGTTTTCCTTGCTAAAAAACATCTGTTCAACAACTTAGGCACTACCAAGCTGGACACTAACATCAACCAAATTGAGAAAACGATATCAAGCGAAATAAAAAATTCCACTTTCACTGTCAAGGATACGCGACGTCCCAAGTCCTGGTGGCATGAAGGTTTGGAAAAACTGTTCAGGCTACAACTAGCTGCAAATAAAAAGTGCAACAAGTATCCCACGGTTCAAAACTTTAAGGAAGCGACTGAAGCCAAGGAAAACTGGAAAAACGCGGTAGAAGAAGCTAAAAAGGAAAACTACAGCAAAAATCTTAACTCACTCAATAGTCACCCCAACACCAGAGAGGCATGGAAATTCTTAAAAAATATTAAAAATGCGGGATCTTCGGAATCCAAACAACAGTGGGACGACACGAACAATAGAGTGTACCTGCAGCATCTGAAAAATCAGGTTAGACAAGATGCAAATACCAATAATAATGAAATTGCACAAAAAGTGGATGTCCTGGAGTCATGGGTGCCTGCTTTTGGGGAAGAGGAACTGAAAAATGTTCTAAAAAAGAAAACGAAAAGGTCAGCAGGGGGGTGTGATCAGATCACATACGAAATGCTACGAGCTCGGTCGGAAACGGCGCAAAAAAACCTACTAATTTCTTTTAATGATGCTTTTCAAAATTGTAAAATTGACGACTCACTCCGTAGAATAAGGGTGGTACCGATACCCAAGGCGGACAAGGACGTAAGTGATTATAAGAATTTTCGACCGATATCTCTGATATCTGTTCTCATAAAGACAATAAATCTCATGGTCAAGGGTAGACTAGAGGAATTTCTAAACAGTAAAAATTCATATCCAGACAGAAGCTATGCTTATCGAAAAGGTAAATCTGCAGCCATGTGCATTAATGAATTCCTACACAAAGTTGCTAATATTAAACACGCAGGGCAAAAGGCTGTGGTCCTGACCCTGGACATAAGCAACGCCTATTATTGTGTGTCTTTGAACAAACTACATACTATGTTAGCGGACCTGGAATTACCTGACCCATATAATAACTGGATTATGGACTTGAAAAAAAAAAGAATCTTACTTCTTGGCAACGAATCGATAGTGGTTGAGGATGGCCTACCACAGGGTAGCTGTCTCTCGCCACTACTCTTCAACGTGTACACAAAAGAACTTCATAGTATTGAGGACTCAGTGACAGACGTGTATCAGTTTGCGGACGATTTCTTGATTTTAGCACATGGGGACAACTGCGACTTGGTGGTTTCAAACCTTGAACGGAAGGTTAAAAATTTCAGTGAGATATGTACTAAATTAAATTTGTCCTTTAATATTCAAAAAACCAAATTTATGTACCTAGCCCGAGGCAGCAAGAAAAACATCAACATGAAAATAAACGACTTTCAGATTGAACAGGTCAGACAAATAAAATTTATTGGTAGAACCATCAACGCATCACTAACGGTTGGGCCTCACTTTGAAGGGCTAGTTAAGGAAACAAAGAAAAATTCAAACTTTTTAAAATGCCTGACCCCGGTAAAAGCAGGTATAACACCAAAAGTGGCGGTGAACCTATACAAAAGCTTCATCAGGTCAAAGGTTGAATATGCAAAGACTACGGCTGCTAAGATATCAAAAACAATAAACAAAAAAATTATGACCTTCCAAAACTCCACCCTACGCAGATGTATAGGCCTCACACCCTCAACTCCGGTACACACTATATATGTTTTAGCAAATGAGTTTGAGCCCCCCGAAAGGGGAAAATATCTTACAAGCAAGGAGTTAGTGAAATTAATGTTTAATAACCCAGAGGGTATCTCCGATGCCGAAGCAGCGCTCTTCATTGAGCACGAGAGGGATGATGATGAGACCTAAACGAGCAGTGGTATCTTCCACGAAAGGGCGTTGAGGGACTCCGATGACGACAAGAGGTAGAGGTAGGCACCACAGCGAATCGTCATGCGAGCGCCACAGGTCTCCAAGCCAGTCCAGCGCGACAACATCGCGCGAGTCCATGCGGCGGGACAGAGACCGCCGTATGGATAGGCGGGCGAACCCGCCTACAGTTCCGGGTCGAGGGCAACCTGGCTACCTAGACGACCGTAGGCGATTGGGCCTCAGCGGCGCGCAAATGAGGTCAGGCACCTAGAGCAAGGTAAAACTCCCGAGGTAGCCAGGAGACTGGCTCTCGGCAGATCACCCCAGCAGGAGTCGAGCAGACGCGGCAATGAGCGCGAGGGCAAAACGACCGCACCCGCAAATGAGCGGAAGAGCGGGCAGCACCAGCAGCATGGTGCAGAGGCTTCCGGCAGTCAGACCGCACCCGCTGAAAAGCGGAAGAGCGGGCATTACAACAAGAAGGCGGAACCCAAGCCCAAGCGGAGCGTTGAGCAAACCCGTGATTCGTGCAGAAGGTTTGACAGGTGCGTAAACGAAACCGCACCCGCTAAAAAGAGGAAGAGCGGGCATTGTAGTCGGGATGAGAAGCACGGAGACCAGAGGAAAAGGGTAAGTGGTTCCGGTGAAACCGCTCCCGCTGCAAAGCGGGAGAGCGGGCAGTTAACCCCCCAGAACTTGGCTTCAAAGAAGCAGCGTGAGTTTCCACCCCCTCCGGCATTGGGACCCGGGGGTAGGCACTGGGGCCCAACGTCTGCGCGGCGGCGAAGGGCAGGCGCACAGCTACTCTGACGCGCTAAGGGGCGCTGAGTCCGGATGAGTTGACTACCCTGCAGGTATTAACTTCCGTCCAGGTATGCTCCTTGTGGACTGCATGGATGAGGGTACGGCAAAATGGCTGGAAGAGTTTGCTCCAAAACTAGGGAGCTGGAAGGGAGTTGCACTATGCGTCAAGCGGGGTGATGAAATACCACCAATGCATAATATGACTATCTTCCTGCCGAGAAGTGCTGACAGATCGGCAGATTATGTGATGGGGCTGCTAAGGGCGCAAAACGAAGGTCTTAACACACCAGCGTGGCGCGTCATCTCGAGCAGCATTGAGGATGCGGCTAAACGTGGGCATAGATGAGGAATCCTTCATTAGCGTCAGGAGGGCTGAGTATAAGCTGAACTTTAGGTTCAGCTATGTTACAATGAGGTCCTGGCGACAAAAGGCAGCGGAAGAAGAGAAGGTAGCTGACGAGGGAAATATGCAGGTGGACGAAGTCCCCCCGTGTCAACAGCTACAACAGCTACAGCGGTAGAGGACGCATAGGTTTGCCAGCCCGCACCTTCAGCCCAAACTTTCAACCCGCTAGGCACCAACCAGCTAGTATCAGCGGCTCTTGCACAGGGGCAGGTCCCCTCAACGCAGGAGCTGATGGAGGGACTAGACCTGAGAAGGCTTGAGCTCGACGGGAAAAGCGAGAGCGACCTAAGGCTCTCGGACCTCGACGAGCGATGAGGTACCCACCGCCCCCCTGAGAGTTGCCCAGATCAACTTGCACCATGCAATTGCTAGCAGGTTTTCTACGGACGATCTTGGCATTATACTCATTCAGGAGCCGTGGACTTACAGAGGCCAGGTAAGGGGCCTCAAAGGAGCGAATAACAAGGTAATATGGGACCTCGCCGCAGAGAGGCCCAGAGCATGCGTAGTGCTTAGAAACGATATTGATTATTTATGCATTACAGATCTTTTAACGCAAGATTTGGTAGCAGTTCAAGTGACACTTCGGGTGAATGGAAGGCCCGTGGAATTAGTCTTCGCTGCTGCATATTTCCCCTGGGACAGTAATACCATAACCCCGGCAGAGGTACAACAACTGGTGGCGCATTTCCGGAAGACCCGACTTCCTCTTGTCCTCGGATCCGACGCAAATGCGCACCACGTGGAGTGGGGGAGCACCGACACCAATAAAAGGGGTGAGTCCTTATTAGAATACCTACTAAGCGAAGATATGTGTATAAACAATGTTGGACACTGTCCGACGTTTGTCACCAGAGTAAGACAGGAGGTCCTTGACCTTCGTTATCTGATAATAGAATTATCCAATTCGTGCTCGGAGCGGAGGCCACGGTAAGTCCTCCGGTGGGGACCCCAGGAATGCAGACTGGAAAAAATATAGAAAACTATTAGATTTTAACCTACCCGGTATAGAAAGGCAACATAGAAGAGATGGCAAATTGTCGCTAGAATATAGGGGTAATAGGTTGACGGACATACTGACCGACGCCTTTAACCAAGAGAGAGGCCAAGAGAGAAAGTTTCAGAACCTTCTGTGAAGGCATCTCGAACACTCCACCGGCCGCGAGGTTACACAAGGCTCTTGCCAGAGGAACGGTGGAATCGGAGTTAGCATTAAAGCATCCGGTTGGCACCTATACAAACAGCAAATATGAGAGGGCAACCACTCTGCTTGCAACTCACTTCCCGGAGGCCACTACCTTAGAACAGGGGCCGGGGGTCCAGTGAACTAGACCGCGAGCATGTGAATGGAAACTGGCAAGAAGTATTTTCACCCAGGATTCAGTCAGGTGGGCGCTGGGATCGTTTGACCGATATAAGGCCCCAGGGGTAGATGGCATCCATCCAGTCATGTTGCAGCAGGGTGGAGAGAACTTAATACCACACATAGCGGACATAATGAGAAGCAGCCTTGCGAGGGCTTATGTCCCACTGGTGTGGCGGAGGGCGCGAGTAATCTTTATCCCGAAGGTGGGCAATAGGGACTACTCGCTTGCAAAGTCTTTCAGACCTTAACTCATTTGTGCTAAAAGCAATGGAGAAGGTAGTGGACAATTACATAAGATCTAGCATTCTGAAGGTGAAACCCCTACACGCTTGTCAGCATGCATACAGAGCTGGAAGGTCCGCGGACACAGCCCTGTATCAACTGACAACCGAAATTCAGGGGGCTTTTGAATGCGGAGAAACAGTGCTCTGCGCTTTCCTCGATATAGAAGGAGCGTTCGACAATACGTCTCACACTGGTGTGCGCAGGGCACTAGAGAAGAGAAACGTACAGCCAGTGATCTGCAACTGGGTGGATACGCTGTTGCATACTAGGATTGCTGAAACCAAGGTGGGGGACAGCGTGGTACAGCTATTAGCAATAAATGGCTGCCCACAGGGAGGGGTTCTATCCCCTCTTCTGTGGAGCTTAGTGGTAGATGAACTCCTTCAGCTTCTCTCTGAAAATGATATCCACTGCCAAGGCTATGCGGATGACATAGTGATCATTGCCAGGGGGAAGTTTGAGAGCACCCTCTGCGACATTAATCAAAGAGGGTTAAGATTAACAAAAAGATGGTGTGCTAAGTTGGGCCTTAGCATCAAACCGGCCAAAACCGCCATCATCCCATTTACCAGAAAGAGAGCCCTCTTGGGCATGAGGGACATAACCCTGGAGGAGGTCGTGGTCGGCGTCGCCAGCGAAGTGAAGTATCTGGGAATAATCCTAGACACAAAACTTCTATGGAAGAAGCATGTGGACGCAATCACCTCCAAGGCCACGAAATCGTTAATGGTGTGTAAGCGTCTAGCAGGAAAATCCTGAGGTCGTAGCCCCAGGATCCTAGGATGGCTCTACATCATGATAGTACAGCCAATGATTACCTATGGGGCAGTGGCTTGGGTTTCAAGAACTACTCTGGCCACGGTGAGACAATCACTCACCAAGCTACAACAACTGGCTTGTGTATGCATAACTGGACCAATGCGCACATGTAGGACGACGGCGCTGGAAGTAGTCCTCGAACTCGAGCCTTTTCACATAACCATAGAGAAGGCAGCCAAAATAACTCTACTCAGCTTTGCTAGAGAGGGATGTGGCAAAGGTAAAGTCATATCCTCTAGGAATATGGAGAAGCTAGGGGCCTCGATCCCGCTTTCTCTGTTCCCTAGAGATGACATAGGAAAACTATAGTATTTGATAAGAGATTTAAGATAGAGTTATGCAGCAAAACAATCTGGAGCGCCCCCGCATTCGATGGATTACTACATGAGTGCACACTGCACTGGTACACAGATGGCTCGAAGACCCCAGATGGAGTAGGGCCAGGAGTCCTTGGGCCCAGAAGAAGAATCTATGTTCCTATGGGGAAATACCCGATCATCTTCCAAGCAGAAGTCTATGCAATCTATCTATGTGCGGAAACAATCATGAGTAGAGGGTATAGAAATGAGAAAATTATAATGTTGAGTGATAGTCAGGCGGCACTCAAGGCTCTTCTATCCTTTGAAGTCAAATCCTCACTGGTCCTTGAGTGCATTGAGAAGCTAAACTCCCTTGTCAGACACAATAACATCAGGTTAGCGTGGGTACCCGGCCATAGGGGAGTAAAGGAAAATGAGGTTGCAGACTGCCTCGCTATAGAGGCGGCAGCCATCACCCCAGTTGGCCCAGAGCCCTTCCTGGGAGTAGGTCCCAATACCATAAAGGAGGAGCTTAGGAGAGAGAGGCCACACTAAGGAATTTTAACTGGCGCAGTTCGGTAGGAATGCGCCAGACAAAGAGTTTACTTGGAGGGTTTAGCAAGAAAAGATTTCAGGGTTTAATAAACCTCCCAAAAGAGAGGCTTAGAATTTTAACAGGTTTCCTTATAGGACACTGCAGACTTAGGGGTCACCTACATAAGCTGGGCATATGGTCGAATGATCTTTGTAGGTTCTGCGACCTGACCATTGAGACGCCGCTTCACATTCTCACCGAATGTGAGGCTGTCTGCAGAAGACCTGAGAGGAGTTTAGGCTCGTTGTGGCCACAGCTTGAACACATCCACTCCCTACCCCCGAAGGCACTATTGAACTTTCTGAGGGAGCTGGGCTTAGATGAAGTGATGTGAAGAGAAGAGGGCACAATAGATCACCAAGTCGCAGTGCACAGCTCATATTAATATCTATCCATCTATCTAAATATGTATTCAGTCATGGTGATTTGGCATTGTGGGGCGGTTTTACCCGCTCGCCACGCGGTAATCGGAGTGGGCAGGAGGGTTAGTCTCCTGTCCACTGATACCGGTTTTATGAAAAAAGTGGGTTTGGGGTCTGTGCGAAGGGCCCCTTTCACAGGCCCCTTCAACCTCTCAACCTTTCCCCTAGGAAGAGCTAGGGGCGCTCAAAGTTACGCGGCCTAAGCCGTCTCAATGCACTCCGTGTTTACCTACGGAAGCTGGTGCTGGCTGAGTTAGCGTCTATCAACTTAAGTCGGTTGTTAAATGAACAGGTTGAGAAGCGAATGAAGATCGCGCACTTTTGCGTGCTTGGCTTTGATTGTCCATACGTAAGGTTGTATGTATATTAGACTGCATCGCTCCCCATAGAAAGAAAAATCGGTACTATTTTTCCATTAGAATTATAAAATCTATTACATTTTAAGACGTCCACCAAAATATTTCCGAAAAATATTAAGATTTAAGTGAACTGGACCGATTTGAAAATACCTCCAAAAATGGAGTTTTTCATGAATAAAAATAGTTTCTTAAAGATTTTTTTTTAAAAATCCTTTCAAATGACAAAACGGTTTAAGCTTAAAAAATTTGCATGAAAATATTTTTAAAAAATTAAAAAAAAAATTTAAACGGAATCGTAATTATGAGATGTTTGATGCTGTTTTTTAACTTTTTTCAAAGATTGGTATAAGAAAAACTTGAATAACTGAACCTAAGCTCTTCCGATTTAGACTTAAGAGGTGTCATTGGAAAGATATTTTCTCACCCTTTTTATTTCTTTGATAATAAACTCATTAAAAGGACGAAAGAGAAAGGTAGGATGAACGAACGTCATTAAAAGTTGAATTAAGATGTGTTGGTATTTCAAAAAAAAAAACGGGACACGAATGACTTTTTTTGGACAGGAATAAAAACAGTGTGAAAATACCTTTTTATCGAGATCCCATAAGTCGAAATAAGAATATTTTTGGGCCAGTTATTCAAGTTTTTTTGTAAATCAATCTTTGAAAAAAGTAAAAAAAAAAACAGCATCAAAAATCTCATTCTTACGATTCCGTTGAAAATATTTTTATGCAGATTTTTTAAGCTTAATCTGTTTTGTCATCTGAGTTCTTTAAGAAACTATTTTTATTAATAAAAAACTCCATTTTTGGAGGTATTTTCAAATCGGTCCAGCTCACTTAAATCTTAATATTTTTCCGAAATATTTTGGCGGACGTCTTTAAATATTATAAAGTTTGTAATCCTGGCGGAAAAAACGCAACTTTTTTTGGTGATGCAGTCTAATGTATATAAGTGCGTAGCGTATGTATGTATGGTTGTATGTATGTGGATATGTATGTGTATGTAAATGCGTGGTTTATGTATGCATGTACGGTTGTACGGATGTGTGTGTGTAGATATGTACGTAAGTACATATGTCTGTTAGTGTAGCGTACGTTACGTTACATTGTACAAGGTAAAACTAGTTAGGGCCTCTCCATAGTAAGGTAGCGATATGTAGTTTTTTAGTGCATTAGTCTTAAAATATTCAAATTACCGTCAGATTTAGCATTTCTTGTTGTTTTCTGTGACGACTGCTGGGACCATGAGTTGAAGCGCCCTTTTTTCGAAATCGAACGCTTCCTTTAAATGCCCAAGCCCATTGCGTCCACTTTTCTCCAGCGTTGACCTTCGCAGCACCTCCCTCTCTCTGGCATGCCTTCTGTAGAAAACAAAACATTTGAAGACGTTATAAAAATTATAATTACTTACTTACTTTTGGTCAGACCAATACTTGCGCCATTTCGCAGGGTCGGTGGAAGATCACCCCACTTCTGAGCCCATAAATGTGCAGCATCAACCGATTCAAATCTAGAACATAGGAATTTGTATAAATAAAACACATTTTTATCAATATTTCACTTATTTTCCATATATTCTATTAAATAGCCTTTTTGTTCATTTGAAGCTTTTTTGCTTTCATTTCCATTTTTCACAAATTTTATTTGAAAGGCAGCAACAGGAAAAGCAAAGCTCACCGAATAAAATGCTGTGAGTTTGTAGAAACGGAAGTGTACATAGTTATGACAGTTAAAACCATGATAAAAACATAGCAAGGTAGAACCGTTCTCTCAATTTGTCGGCCATGATTTTTTTTTGAAGTTTGCCAACATTTTAAAATCATATAAAAGTGAAAATAAAAAATTTAAATTGTTCGAAATTGTTGTTGCTTGAGATTGAAAATGAAAATGTGTGTGTGAGTTTGTGAGTAAATTTAAAAATTAAATTGTTTGGAAACGTCAAGAATTTCAAAAGTGACTCTCAGCGGTTCTACCTTACTATATTTTTATCATGGTTAAAACTCATTCTCGCATTGCTGAATCGCAAAGTGACAGGGAACACGATTTTCAGTGTACACTTGAAAACTTACAGTAACAGAATCCAGACCCTGGTAACCATGATTCAATAATACAAGGTTGTGTAATTTTTGACAGCTCAAATTGGACACTCCTTTATCTAGATTTGTATTTTGGAAGTAGGAGAAAGGGGAAAAATGAGATCGCCTTTTGCGAGAAGGGTAGAAAGGTACTAAAAAAGTACGCAAAGTATACAATTAGAAGTAAAATGTGTATTAATAATTCTATGTGAATTTTCAATATATTTGGTGTTTTAATAGAAATGCTAAGCAATGCGTAAATATATGGATTTATAATTTAAGTTATTTGTTATTCCCTGTAACAAAACTAGAAAACCGACCGTTCAGTTATGCAAAAACGAAAAATTCAGATCCATAGAACTTTTTACGCTCATTTCAACCATGCCAAAGTTATTTGGCGCAAGTAAAAATTAAAGACGATCTAGAAGGTTACGTTTTTTTTTATTTTTTAAATACTAATATCTTATGTATTACATACATAACCGATTAAAAAACTAATGACGTCAAAACAGAGACAATCAATTTATCTTTCAGCTGATGTACATAATTTATATGCTTCTTTATATTTTTTACCCAAAGCCATTAAAAAACTAACAAATGTTATTTTTTCATAAAATAACCTATTTTGAAAAAAATTCTGCATAGTTAGTGGTAAAGATATATATATTATTTAGAAAGAACAAGTTATTATCATTAATTTGATATTTTCATGGGCGTAGCCAGAGCGAAAGGACCCCGCAGAATTTTTATGGGAAATGGCTTTCAGCCAATCCTTAAGTTTTTGCAGGATGATAGTCCTTAACACGTAGAACAAAAGTCTCCATAGGCCGAAAGCTCGAAGGTTCTTAGTTTACGAGTGACAGCCTGTCAAAGTCGAACTTTTTTACTCATGCGCTGTATAGCGTAAACGCGGGAGTGATGTTTTTATCAGAGATGTAAGGTTATATATATGTTTATCTCTATATATGAATGTAGGTGTTGTCCCCACATGTACATATATATACATATATATATATATATACATATTATATATATGTGTGTGTAGATAAAACCTTTACAGATGAAACAGTTTGTTTATTTAATAATAAAATACACCTTTAGTTTATTTATTAACAGTTTACGGGAATAAGTCTATAAATTGAATATTGAATATTACAGCCATAGTTGCCAACTTTGTGCTTTAAACACTAGATTTAGTGTTTTTTTGAAAATTAAAACGCCAAGAAAATTACTTAGTGCCTAGTGCCTTTTTTAATGCTTTTTTGACCTAATATTACTCCGAGATAGTTAAAACCTGAAATAATTTGAAATATTAGAATATACAAATTTAAATGCTTAGTGCATGAAAATGCTAGTACGCAGGTAAGTTAAGTATTTCTTTTTTCTTTTCTAATTGTTTGTACAAATTTTGATGTTTTTACCACCTGAGTAAAACACATCGTTTCTTGGTGCTGAATCCAAATCTGACCGCACAATTGCTCTAGTACTAGAATTTTTAGATATCCTACCCCCAGATTGCCAAAAACAGGGTTTTTTGCGATATTTGAGGTTATATAATGAAAACATCAAATTGTTTGCTCATTTCTTATTTCTATTTTACAACGCTTTTATCAACTTGCAATGTTGTGTGTCCAGAAACTTTCAATGTTGTGGATCCAGAAACTTTCAATGTTGTGTGTCCGACACCATAAAACCTTTGCTTTGAAAAGTTCCTATAAAAAAGCATAGTGCATAGGGCGACATCTGTAGTGAATAGGGCGAGGTAGACGACATCTAGATGTCGCCCTATGTACTACGTTTGCTACAGCGGAAATAGACGACACGCCATTTCTTTAAATAAAATTAATTGGTGCTCGTTTGTATGTACATACATATGTAAATGCATGTGTGTGCACCTTTCTATTAATATCGTTGAATTATTTTAGTATCTATTGCAAAATTTTATTCAGACAGGACTAAAAAGTAGAAAATAAATAATATAAAAAAAAATTTTTTAATATACAACGCTTTTATAAATGGACTAAAAAGTAGAAAATAATATTTCTCAGTCCCATAGAATTTGTTTTGATAACTTTTGATTTTGAAATTTTAGCAAAAGTCATTATAAACAATCTATGAAATTGAAAATGAAAAGCGTGGGGCGCATGTAATACACTTGAATTGATATGAAAAGTAATATATGTATGTATGTATGTGGGTATATGAATAACGACCGCTTAAAATCGATTTCAAAGTTCTACTTTCGCTGTAGAAATTTTAGGTCTACGTTATGTAGTTTGACTATTGTCAATTAAATCGAATGCTTTGTATTGCATGCGCTCCACGTTTTTCATTTTCAATTTCATAGATTGTTTATAATGACTTTTGCTAAAATTTCAAAATCAAAAGTTATCAAAACAAATTCTATGGGACTGAGAAATATTATTTTCTACTTTTTAGTCCATTTATAAAAGCGTTGTATATTAAAAAGTTTTTTTTATATTATTTATTTTGCTTTTGTTAAATACAAACTGTTACGAAAAAAGCATCCCTTGATTAAAAAAAGAAAATTGGTGCTTTTAGTTTTGTTCATACTTATGTATGAACATCAATACTCATATCTATACCAGCGGGTGCAAATAAACACCCGCATAGATAGTTAATATGTACTTACATATAAACATGCTGATATGAGTATTGTTGTTTATTTAGGTTTTAATTTTAAGTTATACGTACATATGTACATATGTACATTTCAATGTATACAATAGTTTAGGATAAGAATTTACTATAAATAAAGGCGCTTCAGGAAACTGAGGTTGAGTTCTATCTGAGTTCTATCTGAGTGCCATAAGTGTCCGTGTATCATCTCTGTACATTTGGTGACCCCTAGTCCGAACTAGTTGCGCGTGTTAAAATGAAATTATAGTTTCGTGAGTGAAAAAAAAAACTTAAAAATGGATCAACAGTTCCAAACAGCTGACTAGGTACAGAAGATGCACTTTAAGGCAAGGGCAGTTGACTTGAATGAAGGCATCGAAGGGATTTCGAAGCTCAGAGACAGCCTTGATGAGTTGTGGAACTCATTCAGCAGCGGCCATCAGGAGCTTCTAAAGGACCCCAGCGCCAAAAAACCCGCATATTTTAAAGATGGCGTCGCTGGAAAAGTAAGTACGCTCTACACAACAGCGTACGCAAGGGTAAGTGAACTCGTTAAAAAATTAAACAATTCCTCTAATACAAAAGAAGAAAACTTGAGACCTGGCTTAGTCCGCAGGCTTAAATTTCTGCTAATTGATTTAGAAAAGAAAATTGAAGCCTGCAAACTGAGCGAAACCACTTTAGAAAGTACTGAAAAAAACCCTTGATAGAACGAAAAATGTCGTGTTAGAATATCTGGATCAGTTTGAAGAAAACGAACTCATCTGCAAATTCTATGAATTGAACGACAATTTCGATGGATTAGCAAGGGAAAATAAAAATCAGGCTTCAAGTGCTCAATATCTCTTACCTCAAATTGATTTGCCCGTTTTTTCTGGTGACTATGCACAGTGGCAAACGTTCAAAGAACTATTTGAACATCTGATAGTCTCCAAGAATATTTCAGACACATATAAAATGTGTATTTTAAAAACGAAGCTGAAAGGTTCAGCAGCAAGTTGCATTGCAAATTTGCAATCAACTTCAACAAATTTCAATGTGGCCTGGAATATTTTAAACGAAAAATTTACGAATAAAAGATTGCTGGCAAATAAATATTTTAAAAATATTTTAGATGCACCAGTAGTGACTGAGACTGCCTGCAGTGTGCAATCATTTCAGGAAAAGCTTTCTGAAAGCATACAAGCCTTGGGAACTCTCAGTTTGTCCAATGAAAAAATGTTACAAGCGTTATTATGTTATATACTTGTACAAAAGTTGGACAATAATCTAAGGTTAAGGTATGAGAATTCCTTAACGAATTCGAAAGAAATACCAGACCTTGATTCACTACAGAAATGTCTGAGTCATGAAGGAAACGCCTTGGAAGCAGCACATGGTGTTATCACCTAAACCACAAAAAGTGCTTAAAAAGTGCATACTGGGATGTAACTTTTCTCATCCTATTTTTTATTGCCAGAAATTTAGAGCTCTTAATACCCAAGAAAGGTGGGACAAAATAATACTAAATAAATTATGCAGCAAATGTTTGAAGGCAGGGCACAGCGGTAATGAATGTAAGAGCATTAATTGCAAAAATTGTAATGGTAGCCATCATTTTATGCTTCATAAAGAAAAAGAAAAGCAACCAAAAGCAAAAAGTGTGATTGTGAAATCTAATGCAGATGATATCAAAAGTAAAATTTGCTTACTTACCACTTCTATTATTGGAATTAAAGCGCGTGATGGAAAAATCGTAAGGGCACGCGCTTTACTAATAACAAAAGAACTCAGAAATAAGCTTAAGCTTAG